TTATTATTATTATTATTATTATTATTATTATTATTATTATTATTATTATTATTAAATGCCAGATACAAACTCTGGTATTTAAAACAAAGGTTAAAGTTGCCTTAAAAAAACAACACTATAATGGGGCTGCGCTAGCTCAGATTAAAATCCTTCTATACTTTAAAATGAAAATGCAGGGATGATTTAAAAGCCCTGTACTTTCCCAGTCAGCTATACTGACTGTTATTGCTTCAGGCTGAGCATTTTGTTTTTCTTTTTTTTTTTTTCCTTTTTATTCTTTCCTTTTTTTTTTTTTTTTTTTTTTCCTTGTGAAAACCGAGTTGCTTATTTTGGGGAAGCATCTCATTTATGTGAGCCTGCTTCTTCCTGAGACTTTTTTCCTGCTGGAGAATTACTGCATGGCACATCAATAGGTTGCAAATTGTGTAAGGGCTGTGTTTAACTTGCAGCCGAATTGCCATTTTCATAAGGGTCCGCATCTTTTAGCTAAACTGCCTTTTCCTGAGGAATTTCAGATGTCTGTAATTGCTGCTCCTTTCAGCACAGCTTAAGGTATCAATATCAACTATATTTGAATATCATAAGTGGTAAGTTGCTCTAAGCAAAACACAAACATGTCAGTTGCCCAGGTGACATTTTGTAGCAAACAAGGAAATCACAACTCCAGGAAGTGTTGTATTTTATGCCAACAACAATATGACAGTTTTCTCTGTAAAGAAAACATGACACTTTTCCAAATATCAGAGGATGCCTCCGCTGCTCAAGGGATTCCTGTACTGTCACTGAAATGGAAGGTCACAGGCTGGTTTCATGATTTCTATAGTTTCAAAATGTTGTGGTGGAGCGTTTGCACGCTAAATGCTGTAGGCTAAGGGAAATCTTTCCCTTCATCTCTGAAAGAAGTGACAGGAAGAAAAAGGTCCTACTCTGACAGCAGTAACCTCTAGGTCTAGAGGTTCTGCCCCAAGCAACTCTGAAGTAAAATTACCTATGTTAATGTGTTGTCCTCGCTGTCACACGTGGGTGTGCGAAGCAGAAAGCACCGAGAAGTGCAAGGGTGCGAGCGTGTGCCCCGAGGTCCCCGTTGCCCTGCAGGAGGCTCTGGCCACAGGAACCATCTCAAAACAGCCCTAAAAGCAGCGTGCTTTTTCTTTAATTGTCCAGGAACTGCAGCAAATGCTCCTGTCCCGTTTTTACCTGGCCTTGACTGTAATAAAGACGGAAAAGTTTCTGCAAACAATTTCTTTTAAGAGGTGGGGTTTCCAGTTTAACTTCAAGAAGGTAGGGACCTACTTGCTATGCTGGTACCTGATTCCTGAAGTTTAAATAAACAGACTGTTGCTTTAAGCCAGAAAAAGTATTAACTTCAAGGCTGTGGCCAGGATCAAAACACATTTGTTTCCAGCCTTCCTCCTTTTTTTATTCTTCCCTCTCCCCCTTAAAAAAAACACACCTTAGTCTATAGATTATATACTTCCTGCTGCCCTTTTTATAAGCAATAAGAATTTAATAACTGAGGGCAACTCTATAGTAATATTTATATGGGTCAAGTGGCTTAAAAGTATGCAATAAATGTAAAGTTATGAACCACATTGCCCCTTTTTAAATAATGCAGCTAGCACTAAGATATTATGTTTCATATTCTGGAAAAAGGTGTTTTAGCCTAGGCTTTAGGAGTACACCAGACATGAAAAGTTATACTGATCCCATAATAAAGTCACTGCCTGCTTAATATGGTGTGTTATGTAGAGCTCCAGATCTTAATAGCAGACCACAGCAAGAACGTCCCAGATGATATCAACAAAACCTTAGCTTTCTCATTAGCAATCAGCAAATTCTCCTGGTGTCTGCTAGTTTCAAATAAGGGCAAGTGCCTCTATTCCTAGTGTGAAGCCCAATAGGATAATAGAAATAATGCAGTCTAATCAGCGGCGAACGCAGGCGATCCCCCAGCCGGAGCAGGCTGCCATGGGTTCGGTGGCGGCCGTTCAGCTTTTCACAGCTCTCACAGTCCCGACCAGCAGGATCGGAGGAATGGCAAGAGGGGGAGCAGAGAAACCAAGCCCTCCGCCTCTCACAGCTTGTCCTGCCTCTCCCTGTGACCTCTTTGTGAAGGAACAGCTACTTCGTTACAGATGAGGGTTTTTTGAGGATATTTGTAAAAAAAAATCTTACAGTGAGTGCTTTCACTATATGATGAAATGCTGTGTGTGGTTTGTGTGTCTCTAGGAAAATACCTACATATATCCATGCACAGGGAGGGGGAGATCGCAGGCTGGTTTGGTTTGGCCTCATCAAGCTGGCTACTTCTTTGATAAATCAAATCAAATATTTGTCATCACGGCACAAATGACCATTCCTTTGTTGGCCGGCACACTGCTGACATCTCCACACTGCCTGCACCTGATCTGTTACCTGCATTTTTTTTTTTTTTTCCCTTATTGCTGTTAGATTTTAACATATTTTAGTTTTGGACATTGCAGCGTGTATTTACAGCACAACATTATTAAGCACTGGGACAACCACTGCTGTTAGCAATTATGAGGGAAGTGTGAAGGACACGAGAGCATACTCTCATCATTTACTGCCATATTTTCTTTCAGCTCTTGCAGCTTAAGTAATCTATGGCAATGCTTGGAGAAATGCAGAACCAGGCTTAGGTTTTTGCTGATTTTGTGATTTAAAGTTTTTTTTTTTTTTTTTTTTTTTCCTCAGTTTTCCCCTGTGATTTCTGCATGCTCTTATGACATCATTAATTTGTATTTAAGAGCAATTTTTGCTCTCTTACTTGATCCTGGTTAAAAATTAAGAATCAAAATGTGGCTAATGCCATGCAAGGAAATGCAAGCCTAAGCTGCAGCAGTGTAAACAAAAAAGTGTTTTAAGAGGTGCTGAACTGTGTTTTGAACCCTGATTAAGCCTAAGGTTACCCAGTGTTTATATGTGCATTTGCAGTGCACTGGGAAAATTCAGCATTTAATGGTTCCTGTGCTGATCTTTTGTTAGTGCACTGGGCTGTGCTGCCTAAGAGCGGTGATTACTGGCCAGATTAAAAACCACAGAAATGATTTCTTATTCTGAGTTTTGTCCAACTTTATTAATTTTGATGGGAAGCAGGGGTCCGTATATCTCATATAGTTAAGATTTTAAAAACTGACACTACGACTCAGGCCCCCGAGCTCTTGTTTAGCTACCAGGATAATCAGTTAGGCAGTGCAATTTTCTATGCATCCAGCAAATTGAATATAGTTTATGTCTAAGTGTCCCATTATGATTCAGGAGCCAAGCTGAGATTCTCGGGTATGAATTTTGTTTTAATAAATGTGCGGTGGTGGGGGTACAAGGATGGTACCCGCAAAGCTCAAATGGCTATGGTGATGCTGGGCACCCAGGGAGCTCCAGGGAAGATCCCCATTGATCCCGCACGGCTTCCCCTCTGTGCTTTCCCTCCACTCGGGATAGGGACAGGCATTTTTTGGCAGAAGTGCCACACACTCTGGCTTGGCACCCAGCGCCGGGGAAGGCAGCACAGCCCTGGCCTCTTCAGCTGGGGGCTGCTGGCAGTGGCTGTGCCCAACAGGGAGTCTCACGTGCGCCGAGCCAGGGCCAGGCATGCGGGCAGTAACAGCAAGCGGTGAGGCAACGGAGCAGAGCCTCTTGCTTCCAGCCTTGCTGGACTATTTTTAATTCTGTGGATGACCTTGAGGAGTATTTATTCTCCTAAAATAACAAGCCAGTCAATACCAGTCCTGCTTGTGCGATTAAATGCAGCAAGTGCTTGCCAGGACATCTCCTCAAGGAGCCAGGAGAGCTGAGCTGTGGGAGAGGGGATGCTTCCACCAGCAGGGTCAGAAAAGCCTGGTAGGTTGGGGTAGCCTGTGGCAAAGAAAGCCCAAGCATGCTGAAAAAACTAACTGGTGGATGAGGGTGATGTTAGCAAAAGGAAGGCAGTGCTGGGCAGACAAATGCATATTTAGAAAGAGAAAAACTCTTGTTTATGGGAAACGAGAGGTGAAAATGTAGACTGCTGATGCTAATGTACATGATTATTGTGCTCAAGTGAGAGGGAAAAAGGACTGCGGGATAAAGCTTGCTCCGCAACAAATAGGCATCAACTACCTGCAACTACTCAAAGGCCAGAAATTTAGGAGAAGGTTTCTGATATCAAAGCCGCGAGGCTGTGGAGCAGCCTCCATATGTGGGTAACGATGTGAAAAACCACTAACGGCTCTTAAAGCAGAGCCCGATGACAGGGGATTACAGGGCGTGTTGTCTGCAACAGAAAGGGCCCAGACACGAAGACCCAAACAGCCTCATCCAGCCCCGTTTAGTGGAAATGCTCCAGAAATGGGCAATAGTGAAGCACGCCATGCCCAGATAGTCTAAACTTCTATTTTAAGCTACTTTTATTGTTATGGCTTTAATCTGTGTGGTTTCCAGCGATGGGGAGTGCCTGGGCTCAGCTCTGCGCCGTGGGAGGGCACCCACAAGATGTACCACAAAGCCGGGAGCAGGGTTTGAGCTCATGTTTTACCAAAGGAAGAGGCTTTAGAGTTGTTTCAACAGAGGTTGGTGAGTGAGGGGAACAGGGCAGGGGAAGGGAAGGATTTCCCTTTGCAGGGGCAACAGACCCCCTCCTGCACAGCCTTGTGTCTAAGTTGTGTAGGGGCAAAGCCAACAATAAAATGCACATCGCCCAAGCTTTCAAGACATCAAAGTTGTCTTTCTCCGACCTGGGATGGTGCTGAATTGATGCTTCTATGGGCTGAGCCTTGGCAGCTTCATGAGCATCATGGCTTTCATCGCATCCCATGTGTGGAAGCACGAACCTTGGAGCTTTAAACCCATGTGTGGCTGTGCTGCCAGCCGGGAGGGCATTGCTGGTAACATGCCAATGCATCTCTATACTACATGCGCTTCCCCAAATAATTTAAAGCAGAGCTCGATGTTTGCTTCATTTCACAAAATGACTTTTTTTTTTTTTTTTTTCCCTTTCCAAGACGGTTGCAAAGGCTCAAGAAGGAATATTTCCATAAACAAGTTCAAACTTAATAAAGAGCAGACAGAGAAAGAAGAAGTCAGAGCGGAAGGGCAATAAAGCAGGGTGTAAGAAGAAGCAGTCTTTACCTTGGGGCTATGAACGCTGGGGAGAGCGGCTGTGAGCGCTGGAAGGGCTGGCGCAGCCCTGCACGGAGCCGCGTGGTTGCTGAACCACCATAAAGCTCAAGGTGAAAGCAAAGCAGAGCTGCTGGGGAGCAGTGAGGGAGCACAAACCCTGCTGCCTGGCTGCAGTACGAGGCAGGGAAACATTCCCACGAAGCTCATGAAAGTTTTTGAGAAGCAGCAGGCTATGGAGAAGGACTGTCATAAACGTGGAACATGCCATCTGATGCAATTCGTGTGTTCCTGCAACTTCGGATGGCAACTTTGCCCTGAATGCCTTTGAAGCCTACAAACTATGAAATTTTAATGCTTAGCAGCCTCCCGGGGACCTCACGATAATACCTACAGGACATCTCTCAGCATCCCTGCTGGAAGAAGGACAGACATCTCGGGGCGAGCACCACCGATGGCTCCTCGCCGCCACCACAGGCACCGAGGGGCGCGCTGCCCGGGGACGGGAAAAGCACGAGTTCGTGGAAAGTGGATGGGTACAGTATGGAAATAAAAGCGGATCGCATCCTCATTATGTGGGCTCTTTTGAATAAATGTTAGCCTTTAAGTGCCAGCTGTCACTCTATGCATGGCCTCCCTTCTTACAACTAACCTCTCCGTCACCTCGCCTTGTCTCCCGAACTTGTCCTATTATGCAGTACCAAGCTGAGTCATTGTTTCAAGCAGGAGGTGACATGTTAATAGCTTAATAATAGTATAATCTCGCAAATAATAATATGCTGTCACACTGTCTGAAGCACAATGTTTACAGGAGAAGTGGTAATGTATGATGACAGTAATTTGAATAAAAATGAATTTACTGCTCTTGTCTCATTTGCAGTAAATTTTCGCATCTTTCATGCACAACTGGTGCTCCATGACCTCTTTCATTATTGTGTTCTCAGTGGCTGCTGCTTGCTTTAAAGTGAAAGGCAGGCAAATGAAACAGAAACCTGCAGCTTAATAACTGATCTCCAGAAAAAGAGTTCGCACCGCGGCTTCTGAAAATCTCACTTGGTTTGTTTACCAAGACGATACGGTGTCAGGCAGGCTGTTTAATTAATGCAAGCTGGAGGTGCCGATTGAAAAGCAGGCATGAGCTGATATGATTATGTATTGACAATTTACAAAATTATTGTCATTAAAATGTGTCAGAGAGAAAAAAAAAAACACGCTTGAAATACAGAGAAGATCATTTGGTTTGAAATTAAAGTTTGTGCAGCCTAAGAGGAAACTGCTTTAAACTGCTCTTGGTATTGTCTGATGTGGGGGAAAGCAATGCTGTACTTTCTGTTTGGTATGGGGAAAGTGTTGGAAGCTACCCGCTTTATTGGCTTTAGTTAATTATAAATGTATGCAGCTATGATAATAGCCAGTAAAACTTAAAAACGCTCCCGGAAGGTATAAATTATTTGTGGTTCATGCTGTGGGCTCACTCGTCCTGACCCGTGTGCTGGTTTGGTGTCATGAAATTCTGCCATTTCGATGTACGAGGTGGACCAGGACTTGTGTATTATTCTGGCAAATAAATAGAAAATGTATGCTAGATCAAAACAGCCTTTGGAAAATCTGAATTCCTAGGACAGTTCTGTGTCTGTAAAAGAAAAAAGAAGTTATGAAATGATTTTGTGCATTTGATGAAAAAAGAAGAAAGTTTACAACTCACAACTGATATGCCTGGACTAAATTTGGTTTGATGGAATGAGGACAACTAATTGAAACTTACTGGGACTCAAAACACTGCACAGGACAAATTCTCAAAAAAATGGTGTGTTTTATGTAAGTTTAACTGAACATACAGAATAAAGAAATGGCATCTGCATGACCTAGTTCATGGGTTGAAGTCATTAGGACCACAGGTTACCTCCTCATCTGTGTATATACGCATGCACATATGCATTTTTTCTTTACTTATATTTTGCATCTAATAAATATGATATTTTCCATCTGAATTGGAAGTTAAGCACTATTAATTTTTCAGGAAGAGCTTGATGCTTGGTATGTAGCAGGTTTTTGAGTGTCAGTTAGATTCTCAGTTTTAAAACAAAGCTTTTAAACTTGCAGTAGGTATGGCAGAACACTTATTTGCCCTCACAAAATTAAAGGCAGGGTTTCTGCCATGAGAACCTTTGTCCTGCTCCCTTTTAGTGACTTTCTGAGAACTGGAATTGTCAAAATTTGGTTGTGAAGCCTTCGATCCAGCTCAGGTGGGGACAAACCTGCCTTACACACACCATGCGTGTGCACGTGTGGAGCTGGTGGAGAAGGGGCAGCTCAGGCCGGTCTGTGGTCTGTCTTGGTGAATCATCATAAAACCCAGTTTGTTGTATTTTTGAAGCTGAATTTTTATGACATGAAAATTTGTCTTCTTCTCCCAGCTTTACTTAAAGCAAAGTGCAGGTTTGTGCTAAAGGCTGAACACTTTCTGTTTGGCTGTTTTTAAAATAAGGCATCGATTTATTTTTTATTTTTTTCCCAAACCAACATTGGTTTAAGCAATTCAGAACAGCTTTCAAATCTAACTCCAATTTTAATTTTCAAGGTGCAGGAGTGTCAGGAAATGCTCGTGTCTGCAGGCACGAGCAGGAGCTGGCAGCCACTCTGTGGCTGTGCTAGGTGGGAGTGGGAATGGCCATTGGTGCCTCTTGGTTTTGCAGATCCCCTGGCAGGCAGGGCACACTTTTTTTTTCTTTTTCTTTTCTTTTTTTTTTTTTGTGTGTGTGTATGTGTGCTGTATATGGTAGAGTGCAAAATGTCATGGGCAGTGTGTGGCCATGGTGGGCTGGGACATGGTACCCAGCTCCCCGCAGGGGCAAGGATGGGCTGCAAGAGCCACCACCCCCTGTTTTTTCCCAGTATCTTTGGAGACTTTGTGTATGGGAGGGAATCTCCTACCCTTATGCCAATATTTACCTTTCAGTGATGACATTCTAAAAAAAAAAATCAGTAAAAATATATTGCACAGGAACCATGTTACCAGCTGTAGGAATCTGCAGCGAGGCTATGGAGAGTGGATACAGTCCTAGATAGGCATCTATAGGGATGGCAGAAAACAGCTCTGAGGCTGTCACTCTGATACCGTTCCCTTTGAACCTAGAGGAAAATATGCTGTCCCCATTAGGAAGATGCCAGGGTTGGTGGTGTGATGTATTCAAATATGTGCTTGGCTTCAAGCATCTCAGTAATTTCACCAAAGTAAGCCCAGTGCTCTTTGCATGCCTTGAATCAAGTGTGGGGCTGATGGGTTTCATAAGCACCTTGCGAGGCTGGACAGGGTTTTAGATTGAGTTTTCAATTTTTGTTTACATGAAATTTCCAAGGGGCTTCAGTGGGATTACTCAGAGTAGCAGGAGCTGGGTGACCCCCGCCAGTTCACTGCAGTAAAAGAAACTGTTTTGCTGAAAACCTTTTTCCATTTTCTACTGGAAAAAGATTTTCTGTTTAAAAATAATTTCTGTTTTCCCAGTGTGAATTTAACACTTTCATCCGAGAGTATTTAATATCACTTTGAAAATCCCAGTCGTGTGAATTAAAAATAAAAATATTTATGTCATCACAAAACTAAATAATGATTAACAGAGATCACGTGCAAGGGGAAAGAAAAGATCAGAGCAGCAAGGTCTCACTTTGCCTGATGGAGTTTCTTTCATGTGTATAAAAGGTGTCTTTTCCCCGAGTCACTGATGTTCAAGGGGATATCTAGTCTTCTATTGTTGTGCTTGAAACCGAAAGGTCCTTTTTGTTGCTCAGTGCTATCTTTTAATTATTTAAATGTAGAAGTGTTTGATTAAAGGATTTAATTGGATGTATTTTTGATTGGTAAAAATATCACCGTTCTGAATAGTCAGCGTTGCCCCACAGATATAGGAGTGTGCAAGTTATCTAACAAAATGCAAGAAAGTTTCAATGGGAAAAAAAATAAAAAGTAGTGGGTGGAGATGATTTTCCTGGTGTAGAAGTCAAGTGGAGTTTTTAATTGACTCCAACAGGCGCTGGATCAGGCCTGTGGGGTGTTTGGTGCTCAGTTACAAGTTAGTGCTCTCCCTAATCACCTTGCTCTCTAAAGGAAATAGATACTAAACAGGAACCATCTGGTAATACATTCTGTACCTCTTAATTACAATGTTTTGAGTGGCACCTAAATAAATTTCATTTACAAGCACATGACTGCTTGTCAAAAGCTCTGTTGATAATTTTATTATTGTAGTATACCTTCTCGCTTAATGACCCCGGCCCAGTAAAATCAGGAATATTTAGCTCTACAGAAAAAAAAAATATATAAATAAAAAGTGATTGTCTTAAGAAAGGAAAGACACAAGCTCAATCTTTCATGTCATGTTTTTAATTACTGGCAAATACATTTATTCCTGTTTTGTAGGTTGGCCTATATTCACAACAGCATGGTGATATGTCTGCAGTAAAATGTTACCAGTCCTGTAATTTCTTGGTAAGCAGGAGAAGTTCACGCAGCTCTGCAGAGAGCCCTGGTATTGTTGTAATGTGTCTGTGTTATTTTATGATCTCTGTGTTTCTGCGTAGATGTACTGTAGCATTTAGACAATTTTCTCTTTGTTAGCTGCAGGAAAAGATCAATATTATAAAGAGGTCGAGTGACTCCGTGAATTAGTCTCCTGCATTTTCACCCCTGGAAGCAGAGGTTTAATCCTGTGCCTGGGCAGGAGGTGAGATGAAGCTGAACCACCAGCCCTGCTCTAGGTCCGTGTCGGAGCCTCCCCCAAAACTGGAGGCTTTCACTTGGGGTTGCAGCCTATCCGTCACTGCAGCTGAAAATGACCTTCCTAATTTCATAGTAATCTCTGGTGGAAATCAGTCTCTATTGCAAAATCAACATATAATCTGTCATGATGTGGCGTGATTGACAGCCCCCGTAGAGGAAAAATGGGGGCAGTGCTCAGCGAGAGCTGGAATGTGTGCATGGGTGAGGGGATGTGCCACCACTGTCTTCTCCCAGGAAGCTTTTTTGGGAACAAGGGAAGGTTTTCTTATGCCATGACATTAAAGGACAGAACATTTCTTGCTGTCAGGGAACAATGTCCCGCACAAGAAGACCTTGGTCCACCCAAGTGCAATGTGTGCTGGGCATGAAAATATTACCAGTCACATGTAGCTTCCACTAAGTTGTGGCAGCAAAGAGATAATTCATCCTTGTGTTTGAATGTCCTTTTAAAATAACAAGTTGGAGGAGAAAAAAAAATACTACAAGGGAGGGCAGAGGGGAGATTTCTGGGAAAACGGGAGGAATATGACACCTGGAGGGCTTTTGGCCGCTTCTTTGGGATGAGCTGCCCGTGGGAAAACAGAGATGCATAAAAAGTAAAATAGCCTTATTTCTAAATTCGTGGCAAATTAAAAAAAAAAAAAAAAAAAAAAAAAAAGGAATTCTACTGCTCTCAGCAGGATACTTTATTCCTTTCTAGTGGCAGTTGATGTTTTTTTTTTTTTTTTTTTTTTTTCTTCTTAAAATAATTTTGTCTCTAGGTCTCAGTCTAGATGTGGGAACTTTGGGAAACAGAGAAGCTTTCAAATTAATTTATTTTTTTATTATCGATGCTTTAGCAACCTGGCATTGAAATAACGTATAAATTCAGAGAGGTGCTGGTAAAATGGAGGACACAATCATTGCCATGTGGATTTGTTCGGTTGGGTTTGTGGAGCCTGAGCTATCGGAGCAAGGGACGGGGAATTCGCCATACACAGCAAACTATTATGCCGTACAATATAATATCTGGATTTGCAGCTGATATTTAAAGAGGGCACTTGCTTTACTTATGAGATTAAAGGCAAATGCTCTCTTTTAAAAATGAAGTCATGCTGTGTTTTGCACCTTTTGACACTTATTAACTCAGGTCATTAAAAAGAGGCTAATTAAAAAAGAATGTAAAACAAAAGAGTCATTTGTCTATCGCCGAGCTGGGTTCTTCATGTACGCTGACTGGAGGCAGTCTCTGTTTAAACCTTGGGTACAGAAAGCACTGACGGCCACTGGGGCATGCTTGGAGCTTGTCATGGCTTTTGGCTAGACTGTGGTCCGGCTCATTATGCACCTCATAAAGAAGAGAAGTCATTGTCATCAAAATTAGCTGAAGCTGGAATTTACATTCATGGAAATTTTGGTTTCACCACTGTCCTCTGGGGCTGGACAATAAAGGAAACCTTTTACCAGCTGCAGTTAAAGTAAGTGAAGTTCAATAAATGCTTAGTGCTTCATTAAGGCATTTCCGAACATACTGCGCTATATGCAAGTGATATTTTACAGCCGATGAGGATTTTGTACAAACAGCTTGTGAAGTTCACTAGTTCCTGGTGCGCGATGTGCACCGCGCATCGAGTCCGGCCTGTAAAAGGGCCAGCCCTTTGTAACTGCTGCTTGTCCCCAAAGAGTTCTCTCTCCTTCAAAATGGACACTTTCCTAGCAGGCCCGTTCTCGTTCATAAGGTTAAAAAAGTGTCTTGTCATAGGGATAAGCTCTTCCGATGCAATTGAGGGTGTGGGGCTGATTTTTTAGCACTGTTGAGTATGTGGAGTGTTGTGCTTGGCTGCGGAGCTCCGTGTGGGCAGGCTTGAAACCTGCACGATCATTGCAAGGCCAGGGGCTGACTGAAGGCCCGTTCACCTTCCCGGTAAATCCTCCCAAGGACTTCCACGAGGACACGGACAGATTTGTGGTTTATGACTAAGAGCACGTCAGATCGGCAGGGGGAGCAGGGCTCACCCAGGCTGAGATGCCGTGGAGGCGTTTGGAGGACAGGAGTCCTACAAGGATGGTTTTATGTCCTCTTGTACTCCAAAAAGTAAACCGAACGGCCAGCTCACCAATGTGGGTGCCCACCCGTCCTCCTGCACATTCAGATGACAGCACTTGGTGTGTTTTATTTTTTTTTTTCCGTGCCGCTGAACTTCCAAGGCCATGAAGATATT